TGTACTACTTTCTAGGGGAATTTAGTATCCTATTCTCAAAGGCTCTCATACCTCACAAGATCAATGTTGAATGCCTGATTTCTGTGATAAAGGACAACCCTTATTTATAGTAGCTACTTCTAATAGATTTGTGAATAATAATGCTATTCCTAATCAAACTAGAACTAGAAGATCTTCAATAACAATTCCTCTTAGAACTAGTATTCTTCAATATCTATTCCTTTTAGGACAGTATTCCTTCATAGAGCTGGAATCCTTTTTGCACATAACTTTGACAAGGCCTTTGAGTCAACAATCTCCGCCTTTGTCAAATTTTTGGCAAAATCCTTGATTCCATAAAAAGCTTGCCATTTGACTCATTTCCCCTCTAACTGATTGCATGTTTCTCTGTTATTGGTGAGTGCTATCTTTGAGTATGATTTGTTTTTTTTTTTTTAAATTCCCAATTAAATCAGCCTATCACAGCTAATTTCTCCTCTGATTTATTCTTCCTCTGTTATTACCGCCAACGCCTTTGATGTCATCACTTCTCCTCAATCGCGACATCTCGAAGGGAAATTGCACATCGGAGGAGCGCGACGACAAAGCTGAGACAATCTGTCGAGAATTCTTTTAATTGGAGATGTATTCTGGCCATGCAAACATGAATCCACTGAGATTCCATCAATCGGTCTCTTCTGCCTTACGATCGCATTTAGATTTCCTGACCGGAATTTCGAACGTACTAACTCTGCGCCATCATTAATTTCTGGAAATATCACAAAATCTTATGAAAGCTCTTCCAAATGATCTCTAAAATATCCGATCTGATCTTCATGGGATAACCTAGACGAAACTGAAATTTCTCCAATTTCCGGTGACATAATCATCGCTGGAAAATGCTCCGTTGCCACCGCCAGACCACCCTCGCCCTCCAGGGCTGTCTCGCACAAACAGGCTGGAGGTGGTTCGCGTTCGTCTTGAATATTTTGGTAGGGTTCCTGTGAAATCAGAACAGGGCTCATAATGATCGTTGCAGAGCCATCATCCTTTTCTTCATCTGGTTCTGTTTTGTGATTCTGCATAACAGTAGTCGGAGGTGTTGGAACAGTTGTTTCAACAACTCTGGGACTTCCGTCATCATTAGTGGTTATTCTTGAAATTGTGTCATTAATAACCACATTCATGGATTCCATTGTACTATCTACACTGAAAGTCTTAATGTTTGATGAATAACCTGAATAGTCTAGGAATATTTCTTGGTCCCCTTTGATGTCATGAGAATTTATGTGTCCCATATGTTGGTGCCGTGATTGTTTTTGCTTGTTGGTTGTCTGTAAACCAGATAGGTCACCATCCCATGTATAGCATTTGTTTGCGGACCTTTTTCCCATCATGATACACTTGTGATTCTGATTAAACACAGTGCAATTGTCTTTAGAGAATTCTACTTTGAGTTCATCTTCACAAAGCTGACTTATGCTGATTAGATTTGTTTTTAGACTTTGTACTAGGAGGACTTTTGGCAACCTAGGCAGCCCATGGACATTCAAGATGCCGCTTGCAATGATCTGGCCTTTTCCTCCATCTCCAAATGTAATACGTCCTTCATTCTTATACTGAATGTTTTCCAGATTTTCTGGATTTCCAGTCATATGCCTTGTACACCAGCTGTCAAAATACGATACGTTTTGTTATTTGCTAGTTTCTGAGGTGTAGGCAATATTCTGATCTTTTCTTACCCAGATTTTCTTGCTTTGTACTGACCAATCTCTGTTGATTTGTCTGTAATACAGATCATTTTGTCTTTTGAAGTAGTATGCTTTTATGTGCCCCAGTCTGTGACAGTAATTGCATCTGATCCTCCTTCGGTGTTGGAAGTGATGTTGCGACACTTCAGGAATTTCAGAAGAATGACTTTCATTGGATGCTAGATTTGGAGATCTAGGTCTCTCAGTTAGTGCCTTGATCTCTTGTAACAGTTTGGCCTCTCTGCCTTTCGATTCCATTAATTCATTCTGAGTATCATTAAGGCGTTTTTCATTACTCTCTTTTTCATCTTTTAGAAACTGATTTTCATGTATGAGTTCAAGATTTAATTTGATGATTTGTTCCCATTTAGCATGCAGCTGTGTGTATGACTCTCCAGTTCTTGTATATCATTTTCGTTTCCATTGTCATTCTCATGATTTGTGGCGAATGCTGCGAAATTAGTGTTGGTATCTTCTTCACTGTCTGAGTCATCGCTTAGTGTTGTCACATATGTTTTGTTCTCCTTTTAAAGTATGTTGGACTTTCTGACTAGATGTGTCCAAACCCTTTGCACTCATAGCACTGTATCCCTTCTGTGTTAGATAGTCCTTCTCTTGGAAACTCCATTAGGATCCTGCTAGTAACTTAAGCAGTTTGGCTCTGATACCAATTGAAATATATATAAGCGCAGCACACAGTGATGTTGAAACTGACGTTGTAACACAAACGATCTGTAACGCAGTTTGGGCAAACAACCCTAATCTGCCAAGCACTTCTCAATTTGAGAATTTGCCTAAATCCACTAAAAGCTTAATATTTAAAGTAAACTGTTTGGAACCTGAGATTACACAATAGAATGATCTTTCCTACCAAACTATTGAAACCTAAACACATGTACTACTTTCTAGGGGAATTTAGTATCATATTCTCAAAGACTCTCATACCTCACAAGATCAATGTTGAATGCCTGATTTCTGTGATAAAGGACAACCCTTATTTATAGTAGCTACTTCTAACAGATTTGTGAATAATAATGATATTCCTAATCAAACTAGAACTAGAAGATCTTCAATAACAATTCCTCTTAGAACTAGTATTCTTCAATATCTATTCCTTTTAGGACAGTATTTCTTCATAGAGCTGGAATCCTTTTTGCACATAACTTTGACAAGGTCTTTGAGTCAACAATTCTTCTCCAATTCTCTTCCCACAACTTAAACGCCCAGAATTTGGAGATATTCGTTTGGCGGAGGTTTATGGTTCTATGCCTTAAGGCTATTACCGATCAGCCAGGTCAGGTTCAGGAAGATGAAGTCGAAGTTGAAGACAGTAAGATCTTACCCTATTGCAGCATAGAGAGGAAAGAGAACAAGTCTCTAGGCGAAATGGAACAAGATTTTCTTCAAGCATTACAAGCATTCTATTATGAAAGAAAGGCTATCATGTCAAAGTTTGATAACCTCAAGGAAGAGTTAATGTGGGAAGGGAGTAGTGTTTTCATGCTAAGTGCTGATGAACAGAGAATTTTGGAAGCTTCTATCATTCGATGGCATATGTTCACTAGTACAGAGCTGCAGATACGCGACCGTTGTAAAAGATATTACGCAACTATTGTACAACAGTCGCGTATGCGAGACTCGCGGAAAGCCATGGACTTTACACGACCGTTGCGAAACAGTCGCGCATTGTCAGTAATACGGGACCAATTTTGTCCGAGAGCGGTCGTGTAGTGTATTTATTTATTTTTATTTTTCTTTTAATTCTAAGGTAATACGTGACCATTTGCATGGCTTCCAATTGATGTTCCTAGCCCGTGCACTCATAAGAATAGAGCAAAATGCCCTATAATAAATATAAACATACATAAAAATTTATAAATAATATAATAATTGCTAAAATACTTATATAAATAATAAAGTATTTACTTACAAATTCACAGAAGCTTTAATTAAACCAATATCACAATTAGAAGGCAAGGGATCCAAGATACATACGTTTTTTGACCATATGCAAATCACCAAAAGTAACCAATGAGATCTACATTTAAAAAACACAAGTATATGTTAAAAATTTAATATCTAATACTCCAAATATAAAGTTATAAGTTATATTAAAAAAATAGAAGAACAATTTTCTTACTCTTGATGATATGGTGCTAAAATAAAGTTTTTATCTTTGTGCTGCCCCATGACGTGGATGAAATATGACGTAACTTTGGAGGCACCGCTTTTAAGCATAGTGTGGGAAATTTGGGTCGCACAGACAAACCCGATTGACCTAACTTCAAACTGATTGCACAACTGATTAAGAAATCTGAAAATTAAGAAATAATGAATAAGAAATTTCACCAAATATAGGTAAACATATACATACATACATATATATATATATATATATATATATATATATATATATATATATATATATATATATATATATATTTATGTATGTATGTATATATAATACCGTAATAATTATATAAAAAAAACTTACAGTATAAACACTTGTATGATTAAGACATTAATCTATTTCATTATCATCAAATTCATTGTATCATTCATCATCATCACAAAAATAGAACTTGTGTTTTGATTATGGAAGATTGCTTTATCCATCTCCGACTCAATATAGTCTTTACCAAGTGGAAAGCCTATCAACAAATTCAGTAAACACTTGCAATTGTCCCCCAAGTGTTGTAAGACATCATTACCAACAATCAGAGCTCGTGCACCAGTAGTAGTCAGATCAGCACTTTGATCTTTTGGTTTCTTATTTTATTTTGATAAACTCTACAAATATAAAAGGGTAAGTTTACTAGCCCCTTTTAAATATAAACACCGAAAACTAACTTAATAAGTAAATAAAAAAATATAATGCATACCTCATCTAAACTCACTAAATGCATAGGTCATTGTGCAAAACTGCCTACTATATCTGCTATAGTGACATACTATTGATTTGGTAAGGGGAGATTAATTTGTTCTCTACCCTCAATCACTTCATCCACCCAAACTTTGACACAGTTACGCAATAATGGTTGGTGATTCACCGTAGTCTCGTCAGTACTTGGGTGAGCCATACCCTTTGCAACAACAATTGGTGTGTCATCGGGGCATACTGCTAGTAAACACCTTTTTGGACTTGAGATAAGTCTTTCATCACTGTATCTTTGAACCATGTGATGAATGTGCGGTTGTGTTCAATGGTCACCCATCTTTCACCCTTTAAAGGATTTTGTTCTCCTATCAGGGACATGTGTTGGTCCAGGTATGGATGGACCTCAGAAAGATGTTGCAATACGAGATGATATGCCTTATTTCACAACTGCAAAGGTGGAGAAACTGGTTTGTACCCAATAGTACCTTTCCCAGTGAGTCTTCCTTTCATGACGAGACTTAGAAACACCAATTGACTCAACATTAGCTAAATAATCAGTACAAAAATCAATGACTTCTTCAGTACCATAACCTTCAATTATACTCCCTTCATGTCGATACCGGTTTCTCACATATCCTTTCAATATTCCCATATATCTTTCAAACGGATACATGTACCTCAACAAAAATAAAATAAAATAAATAAATAAAAAATCGGACCACACATCTTAGTTTCCCTCACCAAATGAACAATCAAGTGCACCATAATATAAAAAAAAAAAAAAAAGATGGAAGAAAATACATTTCAAATTGACACAAAGTAACAACCACATCAGTTTGCAGATCAGCTAACACATCTAGATCACTTACTTTACTGCAAATAACATTGAAAAAAAAAAAACAAAGTTTTGTTATAGCCCGTCTAACATGTTACAGTAGGATGTCTCGAATAGCAATAGGTAACATGTGCTGCATTAATACATGACAGTCATGAGACTTCATGCCAACCAACTTAAGGTCCTTCATCGACACATGCAAGTTTCTTAATATTCGATGAATAACCAGAATGAACCTTGACACCATTTAAACAGGCACAAAAACTTGTTTTCTCTTTTTTTTGGATAAAGTATGACAAGCTTAAGGTAAGTTTCCTAACTCTTGTGGTGCTAACTTATCCCGTATTCCCATTTTAACCATATCCTTTCTAGCCTTAACACCATCATTTGTCTTCCCTTGAATGTTTAACAGTGTCCCAATAATGCTGTCACAAACATTTTTTTCAACATGCATAACATCAAGACAATGTCTAACTGATAAATACTCCCAATATGGTAGATCCCAAAATATAGACCTCTTCTTCCAAGGATTCGTTTGACTAGTCTTACCAAAATCAACATTAATATTCTTAACACATTCATAAACAATATGTCTAGATAAAGTTAAATGAACAACTCGAGTCTCAGGATTTCTATTAAAAGCTTTTCTCTTCTTACGATAAGGATGACCGATAGGGAGAAATGTCCTGTGGCTCATGCACACATTCTTTTTACTGTTACTCAATCATAGACTGGGAGTTTCATCGTCACAAATTGAGCATGCCTTAGCTCTTTTAGTAGTATAACCCTATAGGTTACCATATGCTGGGAAATCATTTATTATGCAAAAAATCATTGCACGTAAGGTAAATCTACATCGACTATAAGCATCAGACATAGGCACACCTTCATTCCACAAAATCTTTAAATCCTCAACAAGTAGCACTAGATATACATCAATGTCATTTCCTGGTTGTTTAGGCCCTGATATCAACAACGACAACATGATGTATTTTATTTTCATACACAACCAAGGTGGAAGATTGACATCATCTTCAGACTCATCATCTTCATTGTCAACATACATGTTAGATGTCGTAGCCACATCGCTTTCACCGTGCCAAATCCATTGTGTATAATATGGATTAATCCCATTAACGATTAGATCATCATATATGTCACCTTCACATAACCTTTTCTGATTACAACATTTCTTACAAGGACACAACCACCTCTTATTACTATTCAGAAGGTTATATATTCTTTGCAAAATCTAAAAATTTTCTAACTCCATCTTCGTATTCCGTACTAAGTCGATTGGCTATCATCCAACTTTTATCCATCACAAGCCAATTTAAAATAATAATAATAACCCTAATTAAACATTTGTTAACACTATTTTAACAAATTGCTATAATAATAACTACTACAACAACTACAATAATTCTTAAAATTCAATATATATATACAAAACAATTCCTAAAATTTCAAATATCCACACAATAATTTATACAATTCAAAATATCAAAATAGATACACAATTATTCATAAAATTTGAAATATATATTATAATTCTAAAAAATTTGAAATATATAAACACAATAATTCATAACATACACAATAATTCTAAAATTCAACATTTATAAATAACAATTTCTAAAAATTGAAAATATATAAACAATATTTCATAAAATTCCAAATATGCACACAACAATTCATAATTTACTCAACAACTCCTAAAATTTTGAAATATATATACACAGTTACTAAAAGTTGAAAATATAAAAACAATATTTCATAAAATTCCAAATATACACACAACAATACATAATTTACCCAATAACTCATAAAATAAAAAATATACACACAACTATTCTTAAAATTTCGAAATATACTCAATAATAATTTATAAAATTCAAAATATATAAAATATAATTCAAAATATATATATATACACTGTGAATCAGAATTTAACTAATCAGAATATGAATCAAAGAAATGAAGAGTTTGATGATCCTTACTACTTGCATATCACTGAGAATCCAAATATGATTCTTGTGTCTCCTCCTTTATCTGAGATTAACTATTCTTCATGGAGCAGATCCATGAAGACAACTCTTGAAATCAAAAATAAGTTTGCTTTGTGGATGGATCTGTGTCAATTCCAGCAGTAACAGATTCTAAATATGGAGTGTGGATGAGGTGCAACAAGATTGTGTGCTCCTGGATCATGAGATCACTTACTCCCACCATTGCAGAAAGCATCCTCTATTTTTGACAGAGCATCAGAAATCTGGAGTGCACTTAGCAAGAGGTATTCACAGGCTGATCCTCACAGAATTGCTGAGCTCCAGAATGAAATCTTCACCACTGTGCAAGGTAACAAATCTGTCAATGAATATTTTACAAAATGTAATGCTCTATGGGGACATATGAATGCTATGTGTGACACCCCGTAATCCAAATTCAATTAAGGAATTAATTAAGTAATTAATCCTAATCCAATTGATAATCTAATTCCTTAAATTCATGAAAATTCAATAGTTGGGGACTAGTAATTGACTAGTCAACCAAAGTCAAGTGTTGTACCTAAAGCTTTGTGAGTAGTTCCCTGTTCCCTTACACCTCCTCATTTTAGTAAGGGTAAATTGGACATTTCCTTTCATGATTGTATTCCAAGTTCACCTAGGAGACATCTCTCATTTCTATCCTAACACTTTCCAAGCAAAAAGCTCTTCCTTCTCTCTAAAAACCTAGCTAGCTTTCTCTCCAAGCTAAGATTAGACTTTCCAAGATCTTCAAAGTTCATCTCCAAGATTCCACCTTTCCTACCTTTGAGCATCTAGGAGGGTAAGATCTATGCTTCTTTTGTGTTTTTAGTGTCTTCTAAGGTGTCTTTTCTTAAAGATAGAATCTTTATGATCTTTTGGTGTGTTTTTGAAGTGGGTGTGGAAGGTGAACCTCGTTAGGAGCTTTGAGAAGTGTTAAGTGAAGGTTTTTGTCTACAAGAGGTAACCCATGCTCTACAAAATCTATTTTGCTTACCTATATGATGATTTATTGGATTCTACATGTGATTTTTCTATGAAATGTGAGTGTTAATGCATTGTCTTGTGAAAATGCATATCTAGAGCTTGTTATTAGGGTTCATGTGTGCAATTGTTTGGCTATTCCTTTGATTCAAGTCATTTTGTTGTATTTGGTGAGATTTGGCATGTTTTGGACTTGAATTGGAGCTTGGTGTTGAAAATCCCCGAAGGGATAACTTGTGGTACAGAGGTGTACCCGCGGGCGGAACGGCGGGTAGGCGTCTACCCGCCACCCCACCCGTGGGGAACAGGCGTGTGGGAGATGGTGTTCCCGCGGGCGGAACCACGGGTGGGGGTCTTTTGACTCGGTATTTGGTGTTGGGCGAGGATTTGTTCCCCGTGATTCTTTTGACTCGGTATTTGGTCTTTTGACTTCCCGATGTTCTTTTGTGGAACTATTTGAGTGTTTTCTTGATGTTTCGTATGTCTAGAACTATATGGTAGGATTCCATGTAGGTTTTGGTGTCTTGAATCGTGCTAAGTGTTCAACATTGTGATTCGTTGAACTGTGTTGAGTCTTGTGTGTTCTTCGGGACTACGTTTGGTTTACCCGTTTGATAAGCATGCTTGTTCGGTGTTTAAATGCTAGCGTGTGTGTTGTTTGTCTTATCCTATTGTGGATGATGACTTGTGTCAATCATCGTTGTTGTCGGATTGTAATCCATCCCTTGATTGAGTATGGTTCCATATCTTCGTTGTGATCCGTTGATTGATTCCTATTGTGGTGTGGTGTGTGTAGCTGTACCTGGATTGCACGATTAATGGTATGGGACATTAGTCACCAAGGTACGGCAGTGGTCCTCGTGGTGGCCATGACGTGATTATGGAGTTTGTGACCTGTGTGTTGGGTTCACGTATTTCTTGGGAGGCATGTGTTGCCATGTGTGTGATCGGTACCCTCGTGTACTATGAATTGGTGGTTTTGTTGGTGGTTTGTCGACGAATGGGGACGATGGTCCTCGGAGGGAAAAGGTTGGACTTGTATGTACAGGGGTCCTGGAGGTAATGGTTGGAACTAGCTATAAGGTTGGAACCGGGCATAAGGAAGGCATATCAATTCGTGATGGGTGATGTCACGAAGGCACGTGTTGCCATTGTTGTGTATTTCTCTATTTGTGACATGTGTTGTCACAAAGGCATGTGTTGCCAATGTGTGTGTCCTTATTCTCTTGAATTATGTATGTCGGGTGTTATTCTACTAAGTGATGGTAGAATACGCCTTGAGCTGTTATTATGAGTCGTTATCGCTTCTTGATGTCTTGGGATGTGTTCCCTTATCTTTATTGTGAGTGCAAAGAGTCTTGTGTTTGACTTCTACTCTTGGCTTTGAACTTATGTATATACTATATCCTGTTTCCAAATGATTTTGTATATATATATATATATAAACTATCTACATATGATATTTCACATGTATTGGTGGGTTACCAGCATAATTCGCTGACCGGGCGTCGTCCCATATATTTATGTGTTTCTTTCAGGTGCTGAGTAGACGAGAACGCGATCTAGAGACAGTTAGTATAGATCCCATTGGACTTGTGATGGTTTAGGCCTGCGTGCCTTTGTTAGACTCTAGACTTAATGTTGTTGACTTTGTCTTTGGATTGATAGATTATGTTGCAGATGTTTACGCCTGTGCGTTCACCGTTGTGTGAGCGTGACATACCACTCTACGTTTTCCATCTATTTCATGTTTAAGTCTTCCGCTGTGTATGCTTTTATGGTTAGAATTATCTGCATGTTTAAGGTTTAATTTGGTATGGAAATCGGGGGTGTTACACTATGAGACCCCTACCAATCTGTGAATGTACTCCTAGATGTTCGTGTACTTTGTTGAGCAAAATATCAAAAGACAAACAAGATGATCAGGTCATTAGATTCATAGAAGGATTAAATGATGAATATGAATGCATAAAAGCAGGAGTTCTGGTCATGGATCCAATTCCTGACATAGAAAAGGTTCTTAATATGACCCTGAAAATAGAGAGAAAGATCAATGGTACCATCAACCAAAAGAGTACTGAGCTTATTCAGTCAAATGTCATCCAAACCAGCGAGGATCAACACATAGATGAACAAGGAATCATTGCTTTTTCAGCTTCTAACAACAAGAAGAAATTCAATAATGGAGGAAGGAATGTACCTAAGTGTACATATTGCAATATGACTGGCCATACCGTTGAAAAATGTTACAAAAAACATGGCTATCCTACAAGATGGATTGCAGGTAAATCTAGAAATAAACAGACTCAGGATGCTCATAATTCCTCTGTGAACCAAGTTGGGGATATAGGAATGAATGCAGAACAATTCCAAAGGCTGGTGAATCTATTACAGAATCAGAATCAAGCAAGTCAGTCAACAACTAATGTTGTTGTCACCATGAATAACAATGGGGAATCCAATGAAGGCAGGTTCATCTCTAATCTACATGTTAATAATGCAGTAGATACTATATGGATCTTGGACTCAGGTGCCACAGATCATATTGCATGCTCACTAGAATACTTTGAGAATTGTTATAAAGTTCATGGATTATCTGTCAAATAACCCATTGGGGAAAATGTGGCTGTTACACATGTAGGAGATATCAGGTTACATCAAAATCTGTTGTTAAGCAATGTGTTACATATTCCAACATTCACATTCAATATTGTTTCTGTTAGTAAACTGACAAAGCAAGGGACATGCAAAATTGTCATAAAATCTGACTCATGCACTATTCAGGGCCCTCATGGAATAGTGGATGGTTTTGCTGAAGAAAGGAATGGGTTGTACCTGATCACTCAACCCCCTACTAGAAGAAAGAACACTCAATTTGACAGGACTATTGATTGTAATAGTGTATCTTTAGAGTTGTGCAGTGGCATTGTAGATTAGGGCATCACCCTGTGAATAAGATACACTCTTTGAATGGAATAAAAGATACACAATTCTGTAAATCTCATGAGTTTATATGTAATGCATGTCATTTTGCCAAACACAAAAGGTTTACTTTTCCCATTAACATCTCTAGAGCTGCAAAATGTTTTGACCTAGTACATATGGATATTTGGGGCCCTATTGTTGTTGCATCCTTAAAGGGAGAACATTATTTCTTGACTATTGTGAATGATCATAGCAGGTTTACATGGTTGCATCTTATGAAGAACAAATCAGAGGTTAAGACCTTATTTCAGAACTTCTACACCTATGTTGATACTCAGTTTGCCCCAAAAATCAAAACCATAAGAAAAGACAATGGCACTGAATTTATGATGAATAGTTTCTGCAATGAAAAGGGCATCATACATCAAAAGTCATGTACATATACTCCTCAGCAGAATGGAATTCCAGAGAGGAAACACCAGCATATTTTGAATGTGGCTAGGGCACTCAAATTTCAGTCTGGTTTATCAATGGAATACTGGGGTAGGTCACTGTGTTCTACATGCCTGGCCTGTTATTTGATAAATAGGCTGCCTACTTCAAAAATTGGAGACAAAACTCCCTTTGAGACACTGTTTGGGAAAGCTGTAATCTATGACCAGTTTAAGACTTTTGGTTGCTTATGCTAGCTATGGCTCTACTCTTTCACAAGGCAGAAGCAAATTGCATCCTAGAGCCAGGAAATGCATTTTTTTTTTGGGAATTCCTGCATATGTTAAAGGTTATATCTTATGTGACATTGCTAATAAAGAAGTGCTTGTTTCCAGGGATGTTCAGTTTTATGAGCAGGTATATCCCCTAAAAGAGAGCCAGTCAGTAGATGTTTCAAAGTCAACACTCAGGACTTTCAAATAAGGTAATATGGATTACGATAAGTTGGTAAGTACTCAACTCTAACAACGTGTTTGGTTTATGGAATAGGTCGGAATGGAATACCATTCCCAAGAATAGACCTATTCCATTGTTTGGTTTGTCTTTTCATGGCTGAGATAGCATTCCCGGGAATGAGGTGTTGGAAAAATTAGCTTAAAATGGCATAAAATGGCATATTAAGTGGCTATTTTGTGGTACAATTATCAGTGGGGTCCACTTCCGATTTGGGTCGGGTCAAAGTGGATTCGGATTCTTCGTAGTAAGACGAAGAGATTGATATATTGTACGCTCAAAACGGATAATGGGTGAATGAGATATTGATTCTCAAAGTAGACCCATTTAAGTTGGGAAATGAAGGGAAAATGTAGGACTTTGTCCCACATTGGTTTGGAAACAAGATTTGCCCCCCTTATATACATGAGCTCTTTTCAAGCTTGTAGAATTGTATAGCATAGAGGCTCTCTCGCGCAGGGGGGGGGTGCAAATCAAAATCCAACTAGAGGACATCGAAAAGGCTTGATTCAAGCCCGAGCTCGCGTGCGCCGGCACCTGCGGGCACGAATGTCGTCCGGAAATGGGCTGGCCTTGCGGGCTAAGTTATGCCTAACTTCGGTATCATTTTCCATCTGGTATAGTCACTTGGTTCGGCCAGAACCGAACCGAGAGCACCTACTCTCGTGCTACAGAGGAGCAAGAGAGGTTGTGGTGCACCGAGAGCACAACTCTCGTGCATCTGTGACCACGAGAGTAGTGCACTTTCGGGTTGCACCACAGTGCGCACGAGAGTTGTACTCTCGTGTTGCCTGGTCCATGTGCTCTCGTGTGAACCTGCACCCCAACGGTCTGAAACCCGAAAGTTCAGCCCGTTGTACAGATTAAAGTCATCTGTTACGGAATTAATACTGTTTTAATTCCAATTTTTAAATTCTGAGTTTAATCCTACTTAGTGGTGACCGTTACAGGTATTACACAATTGGTTTTAACACCAATTTAATGGCCATGTTGAATGCTATCACTCCAACATCCCTATATAAAGAGAGGTAGAAGCAGTAGCATTTAACACAGTGAGAAACAAAGGAATTCCAGTAGCTTTTCATCTCAAAACTCTGCTTCTACTCTCTTCTTTTAGCCAACCAGTGTTCTAAGCTTTGCTTTGTTTGCCGGGTTCCTTGTTTAGGTGCTTAAACAAGGAATCGTAGCACGTTTTATCCTGGGAAACCTAGGCTACAACGCTCCTAGCACTTGTGGGAGGTAGCAAATAAGGTTTTAAGGAAAAGAACTTTGTGTTCGAACTCGTGCTAAACCTTTACCCAAACAATCAACCTTTTCCTTCCCAATTCTTTCTGTTTTCCCATATAATATTAATCTTTTCGTAGGATTATTATTTTTGGGAATTTTCAACCATATTACCCAACAATCTTAAAACCTTATCCGTTTCCCGTTGGTTGTTTATCTCTAATTTCCTAGAAGAAATGGAGAATCCAGTTTTGCCAGCTCTCGGGGGGGAGAATGTTGTTGAGAACAACAATGGTGGGAATGGCAATAATGTTGCTAATTCCCAAGCTACACCAGTGAACGTTGGTTCACAAGATGGTGGGAGCACTGAGGGATATATTCCCATGACTCGGGTACCTACGGTACCAAGTGGTTCGGCCGAAAGACCGGAGAAATTCACCGGTATTGGATCGAATTTCAAAAGGTGGCAACAAAAGATGTTGTTCTACCTAGCAACTCTCGGCTTGGCGAGATTTTTGACCGAGAAGGTTCCCGAACTAAGGGAACAGGATGCCCAATCCGTGATGGCAGTTGGCTATTGGAAGGATTCGGACTTCCTATGCCGAAACTACATCCTAAATGGATTGTGTGATGCGTTATACGATGTATATCGCAAGATTGGCACAGCGAAAGCGCTGTGGGAAGCTTTGGATCATAAATACCGAAGTGAGGATGCCGGCGCAAAGAAATTTGTGGTTGGCCGATTCCTTGACTTCAAAATGGTTGATTCCAAAACCGTGCTAAGTCAGGTTGAAGATTTACAACTAATCTTTGATGAAATCCGTGACGAAGGCATGACGTTGAGTGAAGCCTTCCTAGTGGGATCGGTTATCCACTTGCTGCCTCCAGGGTGGAAGGACTTCAAGAATTACCTTAAGCATAAGCGAAAGGAAATGAACCTGGAGGACCTGATCCAGCGACTCCGAATTGAGGAGGGGAACAGGACGAATGATGGAAGAAATTCTGTCACTATTGGTGCTAAAGCCAATGTTGTGGAGCATGCTAAAAACTCCAAGAAGAACAAGAAGGACAAGCAAAAGCTAGGTCCGAAAGGAGGCATTACCAAGAAGAAATTTCATGGAAAATGCTTCAATTGTGGCAAGACTGGCCACAAGTCCTCTGAGTGCAAAGTTCCAAAGAAGAAGAACAAGAGTTCTGAAGCCAACATGGTTGAGGAAAGCAATCAGAAGGAGGTCGAGATTAGCCTTTCGGCTATGGTGACCGAGGTGAACCTCGTGGACTCGAACCCACGAGAGTGGTTCATCGATACTGGTGAAACAAGGCATTTGTGTTGCAACCGAGAAATGTTCAACACCTTTGAGACCGTCGAGGGCGAGAAGGTTTGGATGGGAAACTCTGCTCAGTCTTCTGTGGAAGGCGTGGGCAAGGTGGTTCTGAAGATGACTTCCGGGAAGGAACTAACGTTGAACAACGTGCTGTATGTTCCAGAGCTGAGGAAGAATCTGGTGTCTGGCTCACTGTTGAACAAGCATGGCTTTCGCATGGTGTTCGAGTCAGACAAGGTTGTTTTGTCTAAGTTAGGAATGTTTGTAGGCAAAGGTTATGTAACTGATGGGTTTTTTAAGCTCAATGTAATGCCTATTATCATGAATATGAGCAAAGTTAATTCCGTTTACTTGCTTGAGTCTTCCAATTTGTGGCATGGTAGACTAGGTCACGTTAATTATAATTCTATACGTAGATTAATTAACATGGACCATATTCCTAATTTTCAAATTAACACAAATAACAAGTGTGAAATTTGTGTTGAGGCAAAATTAACGAAAGTACCTTTCAAATCGGTTGAAAGGGAAACTGAACCACTAGAATTAATCCATAGTGATTTGTGCGATTTTAGATCGATACAAACGAGAGGTGGTAATAAATATTTTATCACGTTTATCGACGATAGCACATGTTATTGCTATGTGTATTTGCTTAAAAGCAAAGACGAAGCCTTGAAAAAATTCATTCTTTATAAGAATGAAGTTGAAAACCAACTTTATCGTAAGATTAAGAAAGTTAGAAGCGATCGAGGTGGTGAGTACGAAGCACCTATTGGTGACTTCTGTGCGAGTGTAGGTATAATACACGAGCGTACTGCACCTTACTCACCTCAATCGAACGGTGTTGCCGAACGAAAGAATCGTACATTGAAAGATATGATGAATGCGATGCTTATAAGTTCGGGCCTACCTCAAGACGCGTGGGGTGAGGCTATTTTGACAAGTAATTACCTTTTAAATAAAGTACCCCACAAGAAGCTTGATAAGACTCCTTATGAGCTGTGGAACGGTAGGAAACCTTCCTACCAGTACCTGAAAGTGTGGGGGTGTCTTGCCAAAGTTTTCGTGCCAACACCTAAGAAAGTAAAGATAGGTCCTAAGACGGTGGACTGTATCTTTATTGGCTATGCACATAATAGTAGTGCTTATCGGTTCTTAGTACATGAGTCCCATAATCTGGACGTACAC